TCATTTAAAGAAAAAAAATACAAAAGTCAACAAAATCCTAGCTCTATTAATCACTATACTTAAACTATAAATTGTAAATCTAATAGTTCTTGAATCAACAACGATACAATTTATCATATATTTACTTAAGAATTAACGGAGAAATAATGTTTGCTCACTCTGCCCACTTGGGAACTGGTGCATAAAAGTACACATATCAACTACTCTATTAAAAGTGTTATAAAATTGTCATCAATTAAAACGTTATGCTCATTAAATTTATCAACAATTTTATATAACAGATATACCATTATAGAATTTATAGAATTTTTTTAACATAAAACGCACTAAAAACGTTGTAGTTGCTATAATATATTAGCTTATACGCAGATGGGCATAATACAGTTTTTCAGTGAATATACACGATTGATAACAGGAAAAGATACAATTCATCAGATGGTTTATTTATTTATTTTAATAACAATTAATTAATTATTTTGTGTGCTTTATTTTTTGAAAATATTTAGTGCAATTTGAGCATGTATCGTTGTCTATATTATTGTAGCTATTTACACACACACATATATATATATATATACACATTTACACATAGTAAATTATTTCGTTATTTTATTACTACTTTCGCTTATGCTCCAACAAACAAATTGTTTCAAATAAAATATTGCCAAATAATTTTGTGTTTAATGCTTTTTGATTTTATATTTTAAATTTATCTCTATAAATAAATCAAAACCTCTATCGATTAAACATCACTGGCGCATACATAATGATATGCAAATGTTAAGTAGTCATATATTTGAGAGTATTTATAATGCTTAATTTCATAGTGAGTATTTAATAAGACGGAAGTTGTTCGATACATAATTCAAAAGAAATCTTCGATATTTTATTATGTATAAAAATATAAAAACTAACTCACTGTGCCCTGAAAAACAAGTGTTCAGAGAAACGGGTGCAATGGCAAGTGGGAGTTGACTCCATTAGCGATGTTAACGATTGGCACAGCTCTAGTATGTAATATACATACGTATATAATACGTGGTAGTAGCGGTTAACCGGGGTTGCGATAAGACTCTGTAGAAACTCGCGCTTGTAACATAAATTGTGCACTACAATGTCGGATGACATGAAAAAAAATATACTAAGTACCCGAGGTTGATAGGTATATATAAATATAATATATTGTGTGTGTGTGTGTGTGTGTCCTGCTCGCAGAAAAAGAAGAAGAAGTATAACGAAAAATAAACGTATTTTTATCGAACAAGTGTTAAAAATAACAGCCGCGGTACGCATATGTTTAATATTACTTATACTTACTTTACTTAAATATATTTAAATTGATAGTGTGTATGTAGAATGTACCTATTTGTTACAAAAATATATGTATATAAAATTAAATAATGAGGTATATTATACCAAGTGATGCATTTAACGTAAGGCATTTATTATTTCAAAAACTATTAACGTTACTAAGAATATTATTTTTTTTATAATTTTAAATCATTAAAAAACAATATTATCATTATCATTTTTTATTTTATTACTTTTTTTAATTACAACATGCATTTTTAATTCAATATTGTACAGCAGAATATATTATTCAAAATATAAAAATTAAATTTTGAATAAGTAGTTTATGAATGAGATTTATAAGTATTTAAAGTTTAGATGAGCATAATGGAATGGTACTCTGGTAAAATATTGATTCGATACTCTAATAATGTTCATTTAACAATAAACTACTTGACTGAAATTTGATTTTTATAGATCCTTGTTTTTCAGATAATAATCTACTTTAGAATATGAAATTATAAATGTATATTTTAATTTAAAAGTGTAAAAACCTTAAATTATTTTTAAAAATACAACTTTTTTCCAAGAATAGTATATTGTAATGACTTAAAATTATGTAAAATAAATATTTAAAAAAATGTTTTTGTTATCTGAAATGAATAATACTAGTTGAGGAGTAGTAATTCGCTGTATAGGTATGTTTATAATATAATATGATGTACAAGCATATAAGTAAAAGTTTTGTAAGAGGATATTTGTTAAATCTATGCATAACAATTAATAATATATACCCCCTAAATGCGTACCTACGGATTACAAAGGAATTTATTTAAGTGGTCATGACTAATAATTTCCTTGAACATATTTGGGCTTGAATAAAATATTTAGCTAAATGTGTTTTACTTCAAATTATGAAATTAAAAATGTATAAGTCGATATTTTAGTGATAGAAAATTATACTATACATTGTACAGGTAGTTTGATATTTTGATTAGTATGTAAAATTATATAATGTTGTACGTAACGTGAGACGTGTATGTTTGTAAATTATTCTGCTAAATTTAATATGGAATACGATTTCCCTGTCGTATAGCGTAATGTCACAAGTTAAGTTATATTATAAATTATAATACTATATATATTTATATATAAGTGTACGTGTGTATTGTGATAGCGTTTGGATAGCGAAAATTATGGTGGTCTGTATTATTTGGTTACAAATGAATGCGAAACGAATAATTATATTTAAATATTATTAACTAAACATACTCATTTGAAATCAAGAAAATATCTACTTATATACTTTGTATGACATATAATATATAATTGTATACATGTAAGTACAGAATGATCAGATGGTTTTACACTATAATATAACACTTGAATTTGCAATATACACTCTGTATACTATTTATTATTTAAATAAATTGGCTCGCTTGTCGCGTGTTTATATTATAATTTCATTTTACACGCGCTCTCAAAACTTTGACTATTACAACAAGGTAGAAGTATCATATTATTCATATGCTGTACGAATAGTACAGAGAACTCGTAATAACAACATATCACAGCCATTGACGAAACAGTATACCAATAACAATATGATCAGAATTCAGGAACAGGACTGAAACCGTACGTATTATATTACAGAAACTATAGTGGTAGTTGATCATAATGTCTGATAATTTTTTTTTAAATATTTGTTGAAGCAGTCATATTCACATCATCGTGTAATTATAATCATTGCCCAACTTCAAATAAAAAAAAAAAAAAAAAAAAAAAAAACTAAGAAACTCGATGCTTTAACTGGTACGTGTATGATGTCTGATTTTTGTAAATAATTGTCTATGATTGTCTATATCGTCTATAAGTATATGACATTATTAGGCTTCGATAAATTTAATTCTTTCATATACGCTTTTTTTTTTTTTTATCTTAATTAATAATATAATACCTATAGTATAATAAAAATTGTATTAAGGATATTATAAATCTAAATTATTCAAAATTATATTTTGTATATTCAAAATTTTTAATTATCATAGTATATATTTTCCACATAGGTAATCTAACGTTTAATTATTATTTCTTAAAATATTTAAGAAAAAAATAATTTAAAAATTGAAATTTCTATATTTCAAATAAATTATATGATTTTGTATTACTTCTGTTTAGTAATTTCTAATAGTATAATACCATTATATATCATTATATCAATTTCTAAATTTTTATTTGAATAATATAATTAACATAATTTGACTTTTTACAATAGTACGAGTATATAGCAAAATATAAAATACAAGTATAATTAAAGACGTAACTTAAATTATAATTAAATGTTATATTTAATGATCGGGTGACATAATATATAAACAGAGCAATATAATTTTACAAAGAAAGAAAAATGTATTATAAGAACAAATTTAATATAAAAATACAAAATAAAAGTTTCAACAGTTAAGTATATATTTTATAAATGTTGGTTTTTTTCGGTAAATTTTTAGTAACTGTTTGGTACATACCAGCTTGAAAATTTCTTGATTTTTTTAGAGTAAAGGTTTAAGCACTTTAATCTGTATATATAGTTTTGAGTTTTGTTTGAAAAGATGTCTATTGCCTGATGCCATTTAATATAACGTGTGGGTATAATATTATATAATTGTATGTTAACAATAATAGTGCACTAAGAAAATATTAGTTATGATTAAAAATTATAAATGATATGAAAAAACAAAATTTACTTTTAATTTTGTAAAAATTGGATGAATTTTCAATAAAAATTAATGTATAATAAATATCAGTATATTATTAAGTAATTAAAAACAAAAATATGTTTTTAAATATATCTTAAAAACATATTTAATTAAGTATCATTTTATAAAAACCAAATCATTTTTGTTAATCTTATTATTAAATAAATTCAAAGTTTTTTTTAAATGTTGTTTTTTAATAGTTAGAAGCATGATGGGAGCTATGTTGCGGTATGTAGTGTAAGCAACCACTTTCAACAATACAAAATAAATATGCAAAGTAAAAAAGTAGGTAATAACCACTTTTTTACTGTACAGTATAGGAGTTAGTATACCTCGTAATTAAATAGGTTATTGTGATAGATGTGTTAAATTTAAGTCAATATATAAATCACTGCATACAAAATATGATTCTGATTGATAATTAGGAAGTATTTAAAATTATTTATTATTAAGTTTATTATGTTTTATTTTAATATTATTTTGTGAGCCTATTAATAACTCATGATGAACTTTATTTATTATTAAAATTGTAAACTTTTCATCCAAAAAACAAAAATAATATTCTACATAAATTGAAAAACTATAGAAAGTATTTATAATATCTATAACTAACACTAAAAGGGCCTAAATATTTTTACCATCAATTATTTCATTTCTATTAAATGCTTATTTAAATAAATTGGTATTTCATGAATATTTAGTAAACATTTTAAGTTTACACAGTAATTACATTTTGATTTACAACAAAAAATAAAATTGATTTTATGAAAAACTAGTTACGATTCAAAATTAATAAATAGATCCCTCGTATTAATATGAGGTGATTTGAGGAGTTTACAAGCCACATTTTTAAAACGATGCTTAAATAAAAAACATACCAGGGGTATATAAACCTAGTATTGATTATGGCATAATTTTATAACTACGATCTATGGCGCATGCACGTGTACTCACTCAGGTGGTTTGTCGGCGTTGCTCGTCTGTCATAGTTTTTCTTCAGCAGACTATCTAGTATCTGAAGATGATTCATTTTTGCACTGTGCCTGTAAACAGCACAAAACAACGATCCATAAAATCATCAGTATTTACAAAATGAGTTCGTGGTCTATAACTTAAAATTTATATTTATTTCGATAAAATTGTATGTATATTATACATTGTATAATATAATGGCCGTTAATTACGGGTGAGACATTGAAACAACCAATTTTAAAAATAGATTTTCCTAGCAGTAATTGTGACAAATATTCTTACCTACTAAATTACAACAAATATAATCAGCCGTTTACTAAATATGGAACAATAGAGTAGTGAAAAACGTACTTATGCAATAAAATCTTTTTACAAAAATAATGTCATTTATGTGACCGCACAGCATTATTCTGGTCTTCATTTTAACCTTAAACGCCATGATTCGGTATCATCAACTAGGGCTATTAAAATATGGATGACCAACTTTGATTAAAAATAAGTCTGTACGAAAAAAATCATTCGTACACTTGAAAACGTTGCTGCTATTAGAGTCGTTTTGATAAACAGTACAAGATATTCTGCATGAAAATATGCATTATCATTAAATTTTAGAAGCCTACAATGGATTTTGCACAGCAATATAAGCTTTTACGCATTAAGGTGCAGATAGTTTAAGAATTAAAACTTGCAGATCTATATAGCTGTACAACTTTTTGTCGAGAAATGATAACCCAGATGGATGAGAACGAAAACTTTATACGAAAATATTCGAATATCTGAAGAAGAACATTTCCATCTTAATGATTTTGCAAATAAGAAAAATTGTCATCATTGGTCAAAAAAATCTTCACTCATTTCATCAGAGATTTTTACACAGTGGTCGAGTAACACACAGTTGTAAAGATGTACAATATTCAATTTCACTTGATGATATTATTCGTATGTATTTCTAAGGATGAAAATGGACGGCCAACAACTATTACTTCAAATCATTATGTCTTTTTTTTTTCAATAATATTTTGTTCGGTATACTACAAAATCTCCTCAAAATGATAAATTTTGGTTTTAATTAGATGGTATGATATCTTACAGTCTGAATATTAATAAATACTATTGTCTGTTTCACAAAAGAAAGGTACCGTTTCGCACACGTAGACTGAACTACGAACCGGTATCGGGCCGAACGTAGTAGTGGTATTATATGCGGCGGAGCAGTGTAGGGATGCACAAGAATATCGAGTTTTCGTCAAAACGCAGTACCTTTCCTTCGTAAGACTTACCTTATTCAATAGATTTTTTGAAATCATATAACTTCCAATAAATTCTTATATTCATTTACCACCTCGATTGCCTGATTTATTAACATGTAACTTCTTTTTGTGGGGTATTTAAAAATAAAAAATTTTGAAATATTTATTAACTAACAACAAAATTTATAAAGAAATTGCCAATATATCTAATGCTAATAAACCGTATAAGTAGTAAAAAATATACAAAGTAAGCTAAAAAAGTATCTCGAGATAAGATGGTCGTCATCGTGAAGATATAATTTTAAAACAAATAAATGGCAAGTTCAAGTTATGTACCTTATCATTACAATAAATTTATTAAATTTATTAAATTTGTTTTTTAATTTTATTATATGAAATTCGGCTATTTAATTAGTGATCCACCCTGTACTAAACAGTTTATAATAATTGATAATATAATATTATTGATATTTATTATACAATCATGTGACATATACCATACATTTTTGTAAGATAAACAAATCCGTTATTCAACTTAGTTCTATTTCTATGACATTAAGTTGGTAAAAAAATCGAAAAAATCATGTACCAAAATTATATTTCCTCCTTTTTCTAAACAAGCATGTACAGTTATTATTTCGTAAAACTCATACATATTAAAACAAAATATCTTTTAAATATTATAATATAGTACTAAATAATCGTCGTCAATAGTGGTGTCATCAGTCCCCCGACAGAAAATTTAAAACCATGTTTGGACCATAAAGTTATAATAAAAATACACACACAAGCTTATCTACTTTAATGCACACACCTTATTAATATAACTTGTGAACACGTGGTGTTTCGTGTATGCAATTTAACGGAATACGCGCTTGAGAGTGCACAATATTATTATTTTATGTTTTTGCGTGCACCATGTATAATATTATCGTACGTAGCAAAAATTTGTTCTTTAGCAAAACATCTCGCGTATTTTTAAGAACGTAAAATAACGTTATTATATTTATTATGGAACCACGAAATTAAATTTGTTCAACGTCGTTTAACTTACCGAGGATACGCTCTTCTACTTCTCTGATAGTTATATGTACACAATATTACAAATATCATACAATATACAATTTATTATAATATTATTTAGTATAGGTATGACACAATAATAAAATATCATTACATAATACTATATTATCGCAGTGATACTGAGGGTATTATAATATGCTTACATTTTAAGAAATTCAATTTTTTGCAAATACAATTTTTTCACATGATCTCAACTACCAAAAAATAATTGGTGTATTTTTTTAGTATATTGGGATTGATAACCTGGGTGATACTATTTTACAAGAATATTTTTGTGTTCAAAATTATAAAGAAATATTAAAAATAATATTATTATTATATTTTGACTCTAAGTATGACCTGAAATTAATGAATGTTTACTTTTCATGCTTACCTATTAAGTTTATAAATATTTCTATACTTTCAAAGTTCTGTATTAATAAAATGTATAGTTTTTATTTTTTATTTATAATTATATACGAGTAATATGTATTAAATAATTAATGTCATAAATTAACATTTATAAGAAGGGGCGAGAACAATATTAATACCAAAGCCCGAAAAATCCTAAATAACAGCTGCAGTAGTTGGAAAAATATTAGATAAACGCGAACAATTATTATTAGTTTGTAAAATACTAAACGGTTCTGAATAAAATAGTATGGCCAGAGTATGACAATATTATTATTATTTAGTTGTTTATTTGTTTTGCCAAGCGACATAATATTTGTATTACTGTAACAGTTTAAAATAATAGTTTATAATATATTTTCATTGACGCCTTATTTTAATATTATTATAAAATTTAAATACGTATAATTTTATTTACGGTTCAACAAAAACTTGTTCTGCAAAACTACAGTGAGTGTATAAAAATTACGCTATAACATTTAGCTTACTTATTTATTTATGTTATGCTAATAAATAAAAATATAAAATTTTAATTTAGTATTTATATTTGTGACATTTTTCCTTTTTTATAAAACACAACGTTAATTTTGCGTTTTTAGGCAAGTCCCATCTGATAATCGTCTATATTCCACAAGTCATACAAATATAATTATTTTTGTTTAATATTTAAGTAGCCGACCTCTAAATTTGGTTTCTCCAAAACAGAATATTTATTTAAAAATTTTGAAGCTTCCTGTATTTGCATTACACAAGAATATGTCAACCACGTAAATAATTGGATTAAAAAGAAACAAAAATACTATTTTGATAAAAACGAATATTGTCCTATTTTATCACCTAATAAACACACTTTTTTTCCACATTTCCTTCTAATCATATTTACTTACTGCAAACTAAATGGATAAATATATATACTTTTTATTAGATTTTTCATTTTACACTTTTAGAATTATTGTTTACATTTGAACGCACATACTTAAACTAAAATACATAAACAAATATTGATTAATCGAAGAATGTTTCCTAAGTTTTATGTTATATTTAATACTCTTTGATCTATTTTTTTTCAAACTAAATTAAATCGACTTAAATTTTTTCAATTAAAAAAAAAACATTGTATCTATACAATTTTAAAGTACTATAATCACATGATTGAATTTTTATCAGAATAAAATGAAATGTTTAAAAATAACAATAATACTCTGTATATTGTATTAAAATAAAATATGATAAATCTTTTTCCTAACTCTTTATTTATTATTATTGTACTATGTTATATATTATATACCTAATATGTATACGTTATCCATAATTTTGGATTCCTTACATTCGTGATGACTTTCTTACATACTATACTATTCACGCATAATGTATAAATTATTGATCTTGAACATAAATTTTCTTGATTTTTGTCATTTTTAAGTTTTGATATGTACCTATTTGAAATATTTAAAAACATAAAAGCAATATTTAAATTATTGGTTTTGTGTTTATATTTTTATAGAATATGGAGTTCAAATAAAAGAATATTGTATTATATTATACCTACCATTAATATCCTATTAATGTATCTAATAATTCATCTAATTGGACTATTAATAGTATTTGATCAAAGCATTGTTCATAACTTTACTGTAGGATAAATATATTGTTAATTCTGTTTTTGTTAAATTTTATTTTTTTATTTTTTGTACATAAACTTATTTTATATATTTATCGAACTGTGCATTACTAATTTGTATAATAATAACAAGGGTCGATTTAAGGCATTACGAACTATGCAGCTGCTTAGCGTGGCAAATTTATGAAAGGCTGTTTTTTATACGCAGTCAAATTGCAATTATTATTTATTTTATTTTTGTACCTACCTATACAAAAATACTTAATTTTTTCTTAAATTTTTCAATTTTAAAATAAATAATTAACATTAAAACTACTTATATAATCAAATAATTATTTAATAAATTTATTATTTTTTTTTTTTTTGTATAATAAGAATAAAGAGAAAATACTATATTTGAATCAAAACGTTTTTTATTGAACTTTAGTTAAATGAAATAAATAATTTTATACTACATATAAAATGTTATCATGTCCTTACATTTTGTTGTACAGGGGTAATTTTTTTTAAGATAAGGGTGGTAATTTTTTTTTTTTGGCATAGAGGTGGCAAATTGTTAAATCCACCATTGAACAATAATAATAATAAATGTAAGAGTACACATTTTATTACTCAACAATTATGAATAATAAATAATATATGTTTTAATATCCCTAAAGTTTAATATTAATATAAGAATCTAGATTCTGATGAAACCCAACAAAAAAAAAAACT